TTTCCAGTGTATGAAATATCTTTTTATATTTCCTCACTTTCAGGCTGCATGTGTCTTTAGCTATGAAGTAAGTCTCTTGTAGGTAGCATATAGATGAGACTTGGGTTTTTTTTTTAATCCATTCATTCACTCTCTGTCTTTTAATTGGAGCATTTAGTCTATTTACATTTTAAATAACTGCTGATTCTTGTTCTTATTGCCATTTTGTTCCTTGTTTTCTGGTTGTTTTTGTAGTTCTTCTCTGTTCCTCTCTTCTTCTCTTGCTCTCTTCCCTAGTGATTTGATGACTTTCTTTAGTCTTATGCTCAGATTCCTTTCTCTTTATGTTTTGTGTATCTATTATAGGTTTTTGGTTTGTAGTTACCATGAGGTTCATATGTTCACCCTATGGAGATATAGCAGTCTGTTTTGAGTAGATGATTGCTTAAGTTCAAACACATTCTAAAAGCACTACGTTTTTACTCCCCACTCCATGTTTTATATATTTGATATCATATTTTACATCTTTTTATTTTTCATTTTTTCCTTCATAATTTTTTTACTTCTAGTTATAGCCTTTTCTTTTCTCCTTAAGGAAATCCTTTTTAACATTTCTTATAAGGCCAGTTTAGTGATGATGAACTCTTTAACTTTTGTTTGTCTGGGAAACTCTCTCTCCTTCAGTTCTGAATAATAATCAGAATAATCAGGTAGAGTATTTTTGGTTGCAGGTTTTTTCCCTTCAGCACTTTGAAGATATCATGCCATTCTCTCTGGCCTGCAAAGTTTCTGCTAGAAAATCACCTAATAGCCTTATGAGGTTTCCTCGTACATACTGTTTTCGTTTCTCATGCTGCCATTTAGGCTGAAGGAGGGCAAGAAAAATGCCACCTTCCAGCACGTCCATTCCCAGAGAAAGTTCCTACAGATCCCTGTCCCGCTGGTACATGCCCTGAAATTAATAAACGAGTCTCCGTCACGTATAACCTAGGCACTTTTCAAAGTCCTGGTTCTCAGAGTAAGAGAGATTTAATGGCAGAGTCTTGGTTTCCTGTAGCACTCCAGCTCTCCCAGAGTTAAGCTCTGCTGAATTTTAAGGCCAGATGTGTTGGGGGCTTGTCTTCTTGGAGGTGCAGATTCCCAGGGCAGGGAATGCCCGATGTGGGGCTTGAACTCCTCACTCCTCAGGGAGGACCTCTGCGCCTGTGATACCCCTCCTGCTTGTGGGTTACCAGGCCTGGGGTGTGGTTCTTGATCAGACCCCATCCCTGCCCCTCCTGCCCTTCTCGATACAACTTTTTCTTTATGTCTCTAGCTGTGGAAGATCTGTTCTATCAGTCTTCAGGTCATCTTCAGAGAGAGTTGCTCTATATGTAGTTGCAGCCTTGGTGTGTCCACGGGAGGGGGTAACCTCATGATCTTCCTGCTCCGCCATCTTCCCCTCACGATGGGCCATAGTTCCATTATTATGAGAAAAGGAGAGAATGGGTTCAGCTGCACATACACCTATCACACCATGACCATCGCTTATTCACCTTCTCCGCCTCAGACACTGAGCTCTGTGAGGGCAGGCAAGTCTCATTCCCCCTCACCGCCTCAGAATCTCTCATAGAAACCAACACAGGCCTTCCGGCCAGGTCAAGTTCTTTGCTTAGAGACCCACTAAGAATTGCGGGCCTCCATCATTCATCAGCACGATTGCTTGAACAATGTGCAGCACCCCCCACCAAACTGTAAGCTCTGTGAGAACAGAGACCATGATTTTGGTTCCTCAAGGCCCAGCACCACACCATCAGCAAATATGAAAGGACTTGAGGGCATTACACTAAACAACTGGTAGCTGAATTAGCTCCATTTAAGAACCGAAATAACAGCAGTCATTGCTATGAAGCCCGGGTTAGTTCTTTCATGCCTATGTGAGTCACCTCTCTATGAACATGGACAGTGGGCCTGTGCTGGGTTGGTCCTGGGGACACAGACGTTAGTAAAGCCAGCTTCTACCCTTGAGGGCCCCCCAGCCAGCTGGTGGTCCCATGGTGGATCTTTCTAGGCCTTCACAACAAGACCACAGCATTTTGTGTACAGATGAGTATGTTTTTTTCTGTTTTTGGTGGCTTTTGAAATATCATGGCAGCATACTGGGTGCTATTAAAAAGCAGTGTTTCTCAGCAACAGATCAAGGAGGCCAATCAGGAGCTAAGTTCCTGTCAGCGCCAATTTGTCTCACTTTGAGAAACAGTAGTGGCCCTGGGAAGGTGTCTAAAGCTCCTCCGGGGGCCCAAGGCAGTTGGTGGATTGATTCCTGAAATACGCCCCAAGCATTGGTTGGAAAATGCTATGCAGATGCCAAGTGGACGAGGAGAAATTGAGTCTTTTCCTATTGTATGGCCTCTCCAAGAACTACCAGAAGCAACGAAATCACAGTGCAAAAGCTGGGTGGGAGTGTGAATAACATGAGGGTCGGGAGAACAGCGACTCTACCATCCCCCACCTACTGACTCCTGTGTCTTCAATAAAGCCTCTTCACCTTGGGCTCAGAGTCTCCAATAAAGCGGCACTGGGCCCCCCCTGCTCCAGCATGGAACCTCTCCAACTCTAATTTACAGATGAATCACTCAGGTTAAAATGCAGATTAAGTTCCAAAGGTCTGGGTGGGACCTGATTATGTATCTGTAACAACCTCCCAGGCTGTAGAAGCGGGTCCACCCCAAGCCCACCTGGATCTGTTAAATCAGAGTCTGAGATCTGTGTGAATCACATGCACATCTGAGTTTGACAAGCACCAGCGTAGACACAGACTAGAGCTGTGTCTTTTCAGACGTGGCTTGCACACTGACTTCCGTGGTCTGGGGTATGACCCGCGCATCTCACCTTTAAATGCCCCAGGTGATTCAGACGCACAGCAAAGTCTCAGAACCAACGGACTTGGGCAGTTGTTTGAGAATTTGAGGTGTCAGAGTCCCCGGAGAGTCCAGAAAGAGCACAGAGGCCCAGGGTCATTGAAGTAGGATAGAGCCAGGCCTCGGTGGTACTGAGCTCCCAGGTGATTCTGATAGCAGCCAGTTTAGGGACTGCTGGTAGAGGGAGACCTGCCCACGATGGGTCTGGGCAGGGGCCGGGAGAATGGTGCACAGGTGCCCTGCTGTCCTCCATCCCGTCAGCCCTCTGGGCAGCCAGAGCTGCTGTAGCCCCTTGTCTCCGTGGGTCTGTTCACCCCAGTGTGTGACGAAAACGTATGAGATGCATCGTTCCATGAAAAGAACAAAACCTGGGGTGTTCCCGAATCAATCCTCTGAGGAGTGGCGGGTTGAGTAAACAGGTTTCTTCACCGCAGGACACATTCGCGGTGTGGTCCTCCAAAGGAAGGAGCAAAAGAATGACCAAATTCTAGGACCAGGCAACCTTTTCATGGAGCCAGGCAAGAGCATTTGCTGCGCGAAGCCTCAGACCTCTAAGACAGGATGTGTCCAGGGACAAAATACCTAATCTGCTTCATAAAGCAAATATTGACATCCTCTGTGTATTGTCCTGGTTCTCGCCTAGCTTTTCTCATCCCGTTTGTAGCCTTTCTTGTAGGCCATTTGTGGGGAACAGTGATGTGACACTCACCCAGAGGAACGTCGTCTGTCTGCCTCCCTTTTAAGGTTGAAGACACTGAGAGTAGAGAGCATTCCCCTGGGCACATCTGACTTTAGAACAAGGATTAGAGGGGCGCCTGGGTGGCTCAGTCAGGGAAGCGTCTGCCTTCAGCTCAGGTCATGACCTCAGGGTTCTGGGATCGAGTCCCGCGTCAGGCTCCCTGCTCAGCGGGGAGTCTGCTTCTCCCTCTCCCTCTGCTTGTGCTCTCTCGCTCGCTCTCTCTCTCAAAAAGATAAATAAGTGAAATTTTTAAAAAAGGAAGAAAAGAATAAAGATTAGATAACCGAAGGAAGCAGAAGTCAGGGTGCAGAGGGGGATTTGGGTTGGTCTGGAGGCTTGTTCCCCAGCCCTCCACCCCTGCCCCCTCCGCCAGGGGTCATGTCTGTCCAGAGGATGAGCAGGGAAGACTCCTGGAGCCCGGCTGTAAAGTCATCTGCCTAGGAGGCAGGGTCTAGGCTCTGCCCCTGCAGGACAGCAGGCCTCCTCTTGAGGACTTGTCTGTCTGTCTGTCTATCTCCCTTTGGAAGATGGTGAGGTTGAGGGAAACTCACAGCAGGGAAGTGCTATATCCTCCGCAGTGGACTCAGGAAAATACACTGAGCACGACTGCTCGCAGCCTTCCCTGAAGTCCAGCCCATTCCTGGCCTGCCTTTATTTTTGCTGCAGGGTCCCTGGGATCCCCAGGGCATGAATGCTATAGGGCGGGGTGTTCGCGACACCCCTGGGGGACAGGCCCATTGTCCCAGAGTTGGCCTCTCCAGAGGAGGGAGGCAACCAGCTATTTGTCTGCGGAGAGCTCCTGACTTTAAAGAAGTCTTTAAAGCCACCCAGTGGAGTCATCTCTTCTGTGCTAAATGTCCTTCACTTGGAATCAGCTTATTTCCAACAGGCGTAGGAATAACGGTGGTCATCTCTGGGAGAAGGCATTATCATCGGTTTTCATTTTCTTTGCTGTCATTTTCTCTCAATTCCCATTTTTCTACAATTGGCCTAGCTTTGTATAATAAGAAAAGACCTCTACACTGTTTCTGTTTGGCAGAGGTTGGCTGGAAGTGGGATGACACGGGGGTGGGGGGGGGCTGGGGGCGGCGTCCAGGCCGGGAAGGGAGAGAGAGGCAGGGTGGCCTGTGGCCTTGAGATGCTCCCGCTCTGCGGTGTCAGACTGGGGCTCCTCTTTCTGCCTGGAGCTCCCCATCTCCCATGTGGTCTGCCACGAGACTCCGCGGGCTCACCGAGGCGGCCACGGAGCACGACGAGAGGCCTCTGGGAGGCGGGCGGTTCGGCAGCCACCCGGCTTCTGCTGCACCTGCTGACCCAACTCTGGTTGTGTTTTCAGGTGAGCCTCAAAGCAGGAGCCCCGAATCAGCCTCTCATCTGACAACTGTCAGCTGCTACCGCTTGGCCACCAGCCTGTCACTGCGCCGCCTCTCAGCAGGTGAGGAAGTGATGTGTCCTGTCCGAAGGCGGGTTCTCCATGGAGAGCAGCTCTTTGCCAGCAGTGCGCGCGTGGGCCCGCGGGGAGGCTGGGCTGTCAGGGTCCTTGATGTGGGGCTGGCTGCTCACACTATCACTTTCTTCTAGCAGTTGTCCCCATCCCGTCCCAGTCTCCTCCTTCCACAGTGGATGCAGGGCCCTTAAGAAGCCTGTCTTACAAATTGCCCGCCACCTCACATCATCCCCCGTGTGAGTGGTTGTTACCCACCCTCCGTTGGGGGACATGGGGGAGGAGAATCGAGCCATCTCCATGGGCTGCTGGACCTTGACTGGGAAACCAAGCTGTGTGAGCCTTGCACTGCCCACCCCCTCCCACCCGACTCTTGAGTTACGTACTAGAGGACGCAGCCTGAAAGACCCTCCCTGTGAAACCTGTCTGTGGATGAGGGGGTTCCTGTGCGCCCAGGAAGAAAGGACTGCCTGACCAGGGCAGTGACAGAGCCCGTGCCCCGAACAGTTGGCTCATTTTCCCATCTGCCTCGTCTTTTCAAAAGCCGAGAGTCGGATGTGAGGGCGATCTGGCTGCAACATCTGTCACCCCATTGATCGCCAGCGTTGATTCGGCTGATCTGGCTGGCTAGGCGGGTGTCCCCTTCCTCCCTCACCACTCCATGTGCGTCCCTCCCAAAGCTGCGCGCTCGGTCAAAGGGGACGACCTTCCCCAATAGAGGAGAGGACTGTTCTTCGGTCAAGGGTATACGAGTAGCTGCGCTCCCCTGCTAGAACCTCCAAACAAGCTCTCAAAAGCCGAGAGTCGAGTTAGTGGTCCTCCAATAGCCAGTGTGCACCATTAGCTTTGTTCCATATCCACTTTGTCTCTACTCTCATTTTTGTTTTTGGGTCGAGGTGGGGTGCACGTACACACGTAGGCTTGTGGAGAGACATCCATTGGTTCATGTGCAAGAACAGTGTCTGGATAGCCTTGAAAGGGCAGAGATGTTATTCAGATGGAAACTAAGAGCTACCTGGCCAGGTGGGGGAGGGAGGGCCTCACGAACCTTCCTGTGGGTCGTCTTTAAGAGACTCAGGTGCTTTTAGCTCCGGTTGGCGAAAGCACCAGCTGCTCTCCTTGGGTTGTGTTGCCTCCCACAGGGGAAGCCCCCTGCCATCTCAGTCCCAAGTTAGGCAAAGTTCAAGTTCACTTGAGGGGTGAGTCTGTCCTGGGAGAGCAGGATAGACCAGGTGGCAGGGAGGGAACCCTAATTCTGCCCCAAATGCCTTACGAGATCCAGGAGGGGTGACAGGCTGGGAGCCACACTAGGGAAATGCTTCCTTCCACTTCCATGAAGGAGCGCAACAAAATCAAGTTATTTAACCTCCCTGAACATGTTTCCTCATGTGAAAAGTAGGGGGATTGGACCAGGACCTCTAAGTTCCCTTTCAATATTAACATTCAGTGATTCATTCAGAGCCTCACTACTCAATGTGTTGTCCGCGGACCAGCAGCAACTGGGAGCTGGGTAGAAATGCACACTCTTAGACCAAACCCCAAACTACTCCATCAAAATCTCTGTTTTATCAAGATCCCCAGGGATTCATACCCCCCTTAAATGTTTTAAAGGACTGATTTAGGTCCTGAAGATGCTTAGAATTCCTCTCAAGGTCATCTGGTGAACACAAAGGAGCAATGGAGTGTAAGTGATTTATAGCCAGCCACGGTTCTCCACCTGTGGTCCATGCCAGAATCACCCCAGGAGGTTGTGAACTTCAGACGTCCAGGTCTGGGGGTCACAGTCTAGGTCCTGGGTACGTGTGCTATGAGTAACCTTACCAGCCACTTGGAGGGAGAGCATGAACATATAGACATGAAACCATATGGGTCGCAGATGATAAGACGAGTAACATCCTGTAAGAGGGTGTGACAGGACCGAGGGGCAGCAAAGCAGACAGAAGAGGTGGAGTGGAGCAGGCTTGTCATCCTGTGTCCCAGGAAGAGTGCCCTCTGTCCTTATTTTTTGCATCTCCACCACGAGTTACATAGGGGGTCCTTCTGTGGGCATCTGTAGTTATCCCTTCTTTCTTTTTTTTTCTTTTTAAAGATTTTATTTATTTATTTGACAGAGAGAGACACAGCGGGAGAGGGAACACGAGCAGGGGGAGAGGGAGAGGGAGAAGCAGGCCTCCCACCGAGCAGGGAGCCCGATGCGGGGCTCGATCCCAGGACCCCGGGATCATGACCCGAGCCGAAGGCAGATGCTTAACAACTGAGCCACCCAGGTGCCCTTATCCCTTCTTTCTTGAGTAAGAGTGGAAACCAGGGGGAGTGTAGTTTTTCTGTTGTATTGTTGTCTATGTGTTTGGAGGTGATGAAAAAGACATAAATATATTTGTATGTGCTGAGGAGAGGGCACCCGGGGACACCAACATTACAGGAGAAAGAGAGCTGAGTGATAGGGCAGAGCCTGAGGGGGGACAGGCCCACCACACGTGAGGTATCAGCCTTGGATGAAGAGGTGCTTGCAGCTATAAGTGCCAGAGGCCCCCAACAGACGTGGCCCAAACCGTGAAGAATAGGTTCTCTCAGTGTCAAGGATCAGAGGTGGACCGTCCAGGGTACAACCGGCTTGGGACTCTGGGAGGGTTGCCCCATGCGTCTCCTGACTTTGCCCTGGGTCAGTCCCCAGGGGCCAGTATGGCAAGACCCAATCAGTGAAGCCAAAGATGGGGTTTCTCCTCTTGTGCCCTGACGAGGAAGGAAAATGAGGGGTGACTGGGGCTGGGGGTGGGATGGCGGGCGGCCTTGAGGACCCGCAAAGGCTGCCTGTGCGTCATGGCACCAGTGGCAGGAAAGACACAGGTCTGGGGAGGGAGTGACCATGGGGTTGTCCACTCGGCGACTGTGACACTAGGTTACACTAGGGATGTGGTGCTTTGCAGCTGAGGAGGAGTAAGGGGGTGAGCAGGGAAGGCTCAGAGGTGACACTGGAGAAGTGGACAGTGGTCCCTGTCTGGAGGGGACACAGGACGAGGCAGGGCTAAGAGTCCATGCATCTCAGGTGCTGGAGCCCCCAACCTGCCAGCTTGTTCTATCTCTGGGACACAAGAAGCCAAACACGGCTCCGCAGGATCTTTTCCAGATATTAAGCCATCAGCCAGAGTTCTTCCGTGCTGCAGAGTGGAGTATGTTGAAACTGTGCGCCTCTTTAGAAACAGGGGAAGAATGAGAAGCTAGTTGAGTGGTATCGGGGTGCCGTCAGTGCAGCCCGTGAGGGGCTGGAGGGAGGGAGAAGGCCACTCCCGGTCTGCCGAGACCCTTCTGCTGGTGACACTTCCGGTGCAGATGCGCCTACTCCCACGCCCACGCCCACGCCCCACGCCCCACGCCCGCACACTCCCAGCGCAGAGCCCCGCCCCCGGGCCCTTCCCCTGTGTCTTCCTTCTTCGCTCCTGCTGACGCTGGCCTCAGCTACCTTCTCCTCAGCCATCCCTGTGCCCCTCCTTCAGGGACCTCCCCAACTCCTAAAAGCCCAAAGTCAGTGATGAGGAAAGAGGATAAGCTCTGGAATGGGAAGGGAGGATCAGGATCTGAGGGCAATGATTTTCGGGTCCTTTTCGACTTGCGTCAGGCTGGGGAGGGTTGGAAACCCTGGGTGTGTCTGTGTGTGTCTCCTCCTTCCTTTTGTGTGGATACACAGGCACGTGGATACACATAAACACACACATCCATAGGGGAACAGCCACGCACGCACGGACGGGCACGGGGCAGGCACCTCAGGCGTGGGGACACACACGGACCTGAACACACGTGCAGAAATGCAAGCACGTCTCTACGTGGCCGGGTGTAGGTGTCTGTTCCCCTGGGGTTTCTAAACCCCAGCTATTCCTGATTCTCCTTCTCTTCTGGTTGAGTAGAAGTTCCCAACCAAGTCAGGAACACACACCTGTCAAACTGTGTTTTAGGCGGCTGATCTGTATCTTACAACAAGAGACTTTTATTTTTTGAAAAGTTGCCTGTGGACAAATGAAGCTGCCACCACGCCTCACCTGGACCACAGAGTTAGCGCAGGTGTGAAAAACTCACAGAGCGTGGCCTGTGTGCCAACATCTGGCCGAGCCTCCTCATTCCTCCCTTTGTGCCCTTGGAAGCCATCGCTCCCTGTGTGGCCCACCTTCAGCGCTCAGGCTGAATGATTAGGCCCCTTCCAAGTAGTTTGTCATTAGCTGGGGCAACTGAAACCTACAGCATCTATGTGGAAATCTATGCTTGCTTGTGGAAGAGTTAGCATTAGAGTGGTTTCTTCCTAGTCCTGTGGCATCATTCCATGTCAGATCAGGGAGAATTTCTTCCTTCTTCTAGAAAAAAAAAAAATCAGTGCTCGGGATATGGGTGCTTGTGTGTGTGTGTGTGTGTGTGTGTGTGTGTGTGTGTGTGTGTGTGTGTGATTGTTTAAAAACAAACTGCTGGGGCACCTGGGTGGCTGTCGTCAGGTGTCTGCCTTCAGCTCAGGTCATGGTCCCAGGGTCCTGGGATCGAGCCCCGCATTGGGCTCCCTGCTCTGTAGGGGGCCTGCTTCTCCCTCCCTCACTCCCCCTGCTTGTGTTCCCTCTCTCGCTGTGTCTCTCTCTGTCAAATAAATAAAATCTTTTAAAAATAAATAAAAATAAATAAAAATAAAAACAAACTGCCAACATAGAGTCTGTAAGATTTTTGGAATGAGAGCAAATTAAAATTAATAATAAAACAGTTGTTTCCAGGGGAGACGTGTACTTAGAGCAATGGATTGCCAGAGGGCCACGTGAAAACATGGGAAGAACCCTTCACTAGGCTTCAGAGCTTTGAGTTTGGGTTCTGGATCCACAGAGTTTGGCTGTGAGACCTTTAGCTGTTGGCTTAATTTCTGAGTTTTGCACTTTCTTCACTTAGTAAAAAGAACTTAATATGTTTTGCCAACCTTCAGGGCTGCTAGAAGAGTGAATGAACAAATGTGTAGGAAAATGATTTATTACTAACAAAGTACTACACAAAAGTCAAGGCGTTACTGTGGTCATAGGGGTAGTAAAGTAATGGTGGCTGGGACCATCTGGTATACCCATGGCTGAGAAGGTCTTGCCAAACGAAAGCAGAAGGTCTCGTTCCCATCACTCTAGTGAAGCATTTCCTTCTCTTGTCCCAGGAGGTTAACAAATGCTCCCCGGCTCGGACAGAGAAGCTGTAGGTGGCAGGAGATGGGAGAACGGTGAGGAGGGTAAGCCTTTTCCAACCCTTCAACTTCGCTTGTTTCAGGGACAGCAGAATGAAAGAAGTCATGTCCAACAACAGCACCACTAGCATCTCGCAAGCCAGGAAGGCTGTAGAGCAGCTGAAGATGGAAGCCTGTATGGACAGGGTCAAGGTAAGCACACACACCAGCCAACCTTACCCTCTGACCAAAACCCAGCTCCAAGCATTCCCCCCATTTCCTTGTGAGAGTTAACACGTCACCCAGCGGAGCCGCCAGCCAACCCTGGCAGCTGTAACATTTACAAATGAGTGTTTGCCTCCAAGTTCCAAGTGTGCTCAAGGATTCAAATGATGCAAAATACACAGTGTGCATGAATTCCGTAAGGAGCTGCCAAAAATAGACTCGTATTCATCTCAGCTCTATTTAGCTCTGTTGTCATGCCAATAAGGGAGAGGGTTTTAACAGTGAGATCCATCATCGTTTTCCTGCCCGATGCAGTGACTTCGAGGTTAGACCATGTTGGGTATTTTGACAGGGGTGCTGTTGGGAGGGAAGCAATGAACCGTGCACCGTGTTTTCAAATGTTCCTGTGGGGAATGTGAAGAGAGGCACCAGTCACCTCCCACCATGTTCATTCCCCTGATGAGTGTAGATCTCTTCACGCTGGGAGGGCTGAGGCAAGATGAAGCCACCTAGTCTCCAGATGCTCTCAGAAGCCAGCAGGGGGCCAGGCAAAGCATGTGGCTCTCCAATACCATTTGGGTTCATCAACTATCATAGAGTTGGAACCCTGTCAGGACTCTGACACCAGGAAACTCAAGTCCAGTGGTCTTTGGGCACACAGAACCAGGGGTCTCACCCAGGCATCTGGGATTCAAAAAGGACGGATTGCAGGGGGTAATGGGTGAACCCTAAAGCCTTCTGCTGGCAGAGCGGACAGTCCCTCCCCAAGGTTCCCAGCACTGAGACCTCCCCTCCTGCTGGAGTTACGGCCAGAGAGCACCAGCTCCTGCCTCTGTCGGGACAGTTGTGGGAACACTGGGGCTTTGGGGTTTGAGCTATCCAAGGAGGCAGTAAACAAGCACAGAAAGTGACATAATGATGTCTGAAGCAAGGAGGGAATACAACGTGATACAAATTGCCATAGTGCACCAGTATTACTCAGGGGTCTCCATCTTGCAAGTACTGATAACAGCTACAAATTAGGCTAGAGCAAAGGGCAAGGAACTAAACAATTCTAAAGGAGGGAGAGGGGCGCCTGGGTGGCCAGTCAGTTAAGCATCTGTCTGCCTTCAGCTCAGGTCAGGATCCCGGAGTCCCCGGATTGAGCCCCTGATGAGCAGGGAGTCTGCTCCTCCCCCTCGCTCAGCCCCTCCCCGCACTCGTGCGCGCGTGTGTGTGCGTGCTCTCTCTCTCAAATGAATAAATGAAATCTTAAAAAAAAAAAGATAAAGGAGGGAGAGCCCCAGTAGTACAGACATGGATCTCAGAATGAGATCCAGAGGACAGACATTTGCTGAGAGGATGAGGGTGGTGGGGAGACTCGCTCTTTTGATAAACACGCCTGTGGACCTGCTCTGCACTAGGCGTGGTGCTGGGATGCAAACACGCGTGGGCTGCCCCATCGTCTTGCTCAGAGAAGGAAGGCTTAGTGGAGCTGGGAGCTGGTAGTTGGTTCTGAGGTGGTATTGGAGGGTAGGGAAGGCTACCGTGAGCTGAGCATGGCTCATTTGGAGCAGCTGGGCCTGACAGAAGAGCTGCGGGTTTGCCAGGAAGGCCACTTTGGGCAGCCTGGGGCAGCCTGGCGCAGAGCATCCAGATGACGAAGTGTGAAGCTGGGGCTGTGAGATGCACTGACCTGCCAGCAAGAGTGAAGTTGTCAGAGGCCAGGAAGCTGCCAAAGCTGCAGAGACAGGCGTAGAGTGGAGCAGAGCCCAGAGCTGGGATCAGAGAGGCAGACACACCAAGACACGGGTGCAGACTCAGAGAGTCCGTGGGAGACACTAGGGAGAAAGATTTAGAGCCCAGCTGTCCAGCTCCGTGGCCAGAGACTGGAAAGACAGTGGGCACTGGCCTTGGTGGTGGGACAGACGCTGTGCCGGCAGTCTAACAAGGAAGATAAATTCTGTAATTTATTTAAATTATACCCGCGACAGGCACCACCACCCTCACCCGCGACGGTCACCACCACCCTCACCCGTGACAACCACCACCATCCTCACCCGTGACAGTCACCAGATGTCCCCACAATGAAGGACTCTTCAAGAGTCACTAAAGTCCCATGCAATGTCTCTAGAAGAACAAGGAGAAATCATAAACCAACTCAAAGTCAAGTTCATTAGATGGTATTCAGAAGGGTAGGTCGTCCTGTTCCTGCGGCAACTGGGTGATGGAAGTGCAGCTCCTGGATCCCAGGAGAGGGCTTCCTGCAGGCATCTTCAGACTCTGTGGTGATTCCGGGGAGGGGGCCGCTGATGGCCACATCAGGTGTGGTTCAGAGCGGGCAGAGTTTGGTCCTTGAAGAGATGACCCAGGGCTTCCTGAGGAGAGAGGTGGCCCCAAGGGACCACATCCCCGCTGGAGCTGCGCAATCGCATGTGGGGGTTTTCCCCCTTGCTCCCCAAACGTTGAACATTTCTTAATTTTTTTAAAAAATGTGCTAAGATACACATAACGTGCAGTTTGCCATTGTAACCATTTTTAAGTGTACAGTAGCATGAAGTTCATTCACAGTGTTGTGCAGTCATCGTCCCCAACACCCGTCTCTGGAACTTGTCCTGATCACCAACAGACACCCTACCCCCCGATTCCCAGCCCCCCCAGCCCCTGGCAACCTCTAGTCTACTTTCTGTTGCTATGAATGGGACGATTCTGGGAACCTGATTCCTACAAGAGGAATCGTGCAGTGTTTGTCCTTTCGCATGTGACTTATTTCACTTGGTGCACGTCTTCCCCAAGATTTGTCCACACCGTAGCGTGTGTCCGCACTCCCTTCCTTTTTATGGTTGAAGAATATTACATTGCATGTACCACCTCTTACCTACCCATTCACCTGGTGATGGTGTTCATCATCTTGGGCTGCTTCCGCCTTTGGGCTCTTGCGAACAGTCCTGCTTTGAACATGGGTGTGCGAGCGTTTGGAGTCCCCAGTTTCAGTTCTCTTGGGTAGATACCCAGACGTAGGATTGCTGGATCATATGGCAATTCTATGCTCAACTTTTTGGGGAACCACCACGTTTCCATAGCAGCCACACCATTTTACATATCCCCCAACAAGACACAAAGGTTCCATTCTCTCCACATCCTCACCAATACTTATTTTTTTAAATAATAGCCATCCTCCTGGGTGTGAAGCTCACGTGTGCTTTTAAGTGCTAGACGCCTCTTGCTTCAGGGCACAGCAGGGCTTTGGGGAAAAAAATCTATTTGATGCAGCTTTTGGCAAAATGAGGTGTGTATTGTTATCATTTTAGCCAGACAATAAAAACAGAAGCTGGAGAGAGAGAGAAACCATCAAGAACGCTCCAAACTGACCTTAATAAGGACCTTGAGGAGGGAGGAAAGAGGAGGAGAGTCACCAGGGAGAAGTGGCCTTTCTGGAATGGGTGAGAGGTCACTGCAGGAGAGGAGGAGGGAAAAGAGGAGCCCGGAGGGTCAATGACAGAGGGCAGGCACCTGGAAGGAGGTGAGGAGCAGTTCCTAGAATCCCCTGAACTCAAACGAAAAGTGATGGGAATGAGGGGGAGAAGGGCAAGCTGTTGCGTGGGGAGATGAATACGCCCTGCTTTTCCCTGGGCCCTGGAGAGATGGGGGAGCGTGCTGTGCGGCAACCATCTGGAAGCTCTGTGGAAGGAATGAGTGCAAGTATGAGGCCCACGGAGCTGGCTCCCAGGTGGGAGCACGGCAGCTGGGGGCCGGAGGACCGCACCGGCAGGACAGGTGTCGGGCGCGGAGCCAGGGAGGACTGTGGGTGGCGAGGTACGTAGCCAGTTGCAGAGCCCACCTCTGGGCGTCACAGTTTACCACGACTGGAAGAGTGTCCAACGTGGAAAGGCGAAAGGGAAGGGTGGCAGTTGCAGTTCATGAGAATAAAGGGGATGACCCTTTAGGGGGAGAGAAGAGGGGAAAAAAAGAACCACATGAAGCAGTTGTTCGGATTGCCAAGGTAGGAAAAAGGAATGGGTCAACTCAGAGAGGTCTGGGCAGTTCATGGAGGGAAGACGGAGCCAAAATGTCCACTGTGGTCCCGAAGCCCTGTTTGTCCCCCCAAAACGTCATCTGCACAAAACCACCAGCGCCAACCTCGGCTTTGTCCCAGATTTTGCAGGGGACGTAGGAGGGAGGCTTTGTACACGGCCCGCAGCCAGGCCTCAGGCCCACACACAGTTGGGATTCCGAGACCCGCTCCCCACCACCTCAGCATCCTCCCTACGTGCATTTAATGTTTGTTGGGTACCTCCCCCAGCTCACACCTGCTTCCCAGCATCCACGGGATTCGTCTCTGTCCGACCTAGAAGCTTCTCAGGGTATTTCCCAGCCAAGATGGGGGCTCTCTTTGAGAACCTAGATCAGCTGCTAAAAAAATATATATATATATATATATGTAAATATTTGCCATGTATCATAAGAACAAAGAAGATTCCACATAGAACCCGTATGGCCTCCCAAAAAGCAAAAAGCTGGGAAAATAATACTCAGGAGCCTAAAAAAGAAACAAGGAACACGTAGAGATGACTATCATGGAAACTATTTTGGTCCACAGGAAAAGAATACCCAGAGCCTTACTCTTTTTCTCACCCATGAGAGGCTTAAACTATATAAAATTCTATCGGGAAAGTACATAAATGACGTTGATTACCGAACAGGGAAAATTTGTCAAACAGTTATGGCGGATATGAGCTGAGCAAAGCCTAAGAGGTTTAAGTGGAGAAAATGGTCCGCAGAGCCGGCTTGTCCCCGCACCCACCCCCCCAGAGGAGAACAGCTGTGGGGAAGGTGTTGTCCCATGGGGAAGGTACAGACGTCCCAGGCGGGCCAGGTCGCAGGCTCCCAGGAAGGCTTATGGAACCTACCTCTCTGTTGGGCACTGCTGAGTGTGCTTTGATTCTCCTGCCCCAGGGAAAGAGGAATTGTTGACAGTGGGCCAGTCCCAGGGGCTGTGACTTGGTGGG